AAAAAAAAAACACAGAACCTCAATTTTATATAAAATGAATATAAAAAATATCAGAGGCAATCAGAACCCGTAGTAGAGATGATATTTTATAATATCTATTATTATTTTATATCATGTCTACTACAAGTCCTAACTGACTTTTCCTCTAGACCAATACGGCTACAACCTGGATACCTGACAGAAATATCACTATAATTTTAGATCAAAGTTAGCTGACCAGATCAAATACCATATAAAGTGCGTCATAAACATTGTGGGATTCAAGATCAGTACTCTAACAAACCAAGTCCCTTAGATCCTGAATATAACCAGGGGAAAGACCACATGAAGCTGTAAAGACACAAAAAGGGCTGCCTCTGCAGTATTACATCTATTTTTCTTGCCAAAGATGTTCTATGTTTCTTAGATTTCAATACGCATTGAGTTTCACAGAGTTGGGTGGTTTCATAAGAAATATTCACCACCCTCTTTAGATCTCAGAAAATTCCATGCAGTAATGTGGCAGATGGATAAAAACAACTCAGAGCTGTATTGTACACCCTCAATGGCACTGTTAGAAGTAGCAGCAACTGAGTGGTATCTTAAGCTGTACTGCCATATACATGCGGATGAAGTGGAGCCACAGTTGTCCTGTAGAACAATTTTCTGAGGTCAGTCCTTGAAATCTTGATATAGCTAGAGTTAGGACAGGGATATAAAACTTGTAATACCCATAGCTACTTCAAACATCTGAACTAGAGAAAACAGTTCAAGGGGAAAAAATAATTAATATTTATATGCAGACTTCTGCTACAGCCATAATTCACTCTGGGTTTTTGTTGTTATTCAGTTACATAATTTTGTCCAGATTCCTGATCATTACACAGTTAAGAACGTTAGGTAAGGAAGGCTTCCGGCCTTTCCCACAATTCTTTGTTAAATTTGGTAAGAATTTCTTTCTGCCAAAAAAACGGTTACTTCATGTTTTTTGTCTTATTCTCTCATTTATACTACAGGAACGAATCGATGCCATCTAGCAAAACTGACAGGAAGGAGTGTAGCTATTTATCAGAATTTATGTGACTAGACAGAAGCATCACACTCTTGTACAATGGTCTTTGTTTTATTCTCAGCTCCATCATGTGGCAAGACTGTGTACTAACAGTAACTATCATATTTCAGAAGTGTGTGACTATTTTGATCAAGACAAATGCTAAAAACAGAATGAATAATAAACCAAACAATAGAATCCCAAAGTTCTAAAGCATTATGCTAGCATGGCACACACCGCAACCCTGCAGCAGTTGCATTTATGCAGTCAAAAAAACAAGTATTCTGAAAATTGCAATTTTTGATTATTAACTCACTAAAACAGAATTGCAAACCTATCTGTATAACTGATTATAGTTCAATAATTATAATGTTTAATTGCATTTTCCAAATTTAGTGAAGAGTTTACAGAATCTAGAAATAAATAGGCTGCAGCAAGCTTTATGAAACATCTATTTTCCAACAGCACAATTTACCTCAGAGGTAATCAACATCAGAATAACCCTTCAATGAACTCATTTCTTCAGCGCATGAACCAGCATATTAACATACTAAAACACAAATTACGAAGTCTTTACGAAATCTCAGCTATGGTATCTCACTTGTGTATTATGACAACGTTAATCCATGTGGGTGAAAAGTGCCAGAAAAGTAAAGAAAATACAGCTGAGGAAGCAGCTTTCCCAGCATAGCTATCACACTAAACTTCGAGATACAGCTTGTATTAGGAAACATTTGCTAGTATATTTCATCTGCTATGGAGTAGGGTGAATGGCAAATGTGCTGAAGTTGCATAAATGTGCATAAAACTTTTAATGCTGAAGTTGTTAAGGATCACTATCAACACCTAGGCTGAATCCTGGGTGAAACAAGGTCTCTTTACTGCAGCTTGTTGGCAAAGGAACTAGCCTGAAGGAATGGGGAACCCCCTAAGGGAAAACAAAGGTAAGAAATATTTGAACAGAATTAACTGTTAAAATACTCAAGGAAAAAACGGTAATGCTTCTCAAATAAAGGGAAACTGTGGCCATGTACCAGGAATGTTTCTACTGGAAGAGTCACTGCTTTCCCCACTAGAAAATTGCTACTGTACAAGTGTTCATTCAGTTTCTTGTGGAGGCAACATGCTCCATCCACAAGAGAACTTCAACCTGACACCCAAAAGATAACCCTAATTTCAGGAAGGAATGGGGGGACCAGTAGAGGCAGCATCTGCAGGCTGGAACAAATTTCCCAGAAGTCTGCAGCAATAGAAATGAACATCTGCTCATGGCCTGGACAACTACAACTCAAGAGGCCATTTTTGGAGGTCAGAGAAGTAACCCCAAATTCTAAGGGAGAAATCATGAGTTAGCAAACTGAGAAGTTATTGATCCAAATCTCAAAAAAAAAAAAAAGAAAAAAAATCAAGTGTAGTGAAGAATTTGGACAGAGAATGGTATACAACTGTTTATTGTTTTGTCTACTTTTCCCTCTCTCCCCCCTGTTGTTTGAAGCTGTTTAGAAATCTTCCTGTAATGTGTGCATATTACATGCTTTAATTGTCACATCTCTGAAGGACCAAACTACAGGCCAGGGGACTTCTGACCATGAAGCTCTGTGAAGGGAGTGCTTAAACTACTGGGAGTGTTCCTGGGGAGTCACCATTATCTTTGGGTCAAGTAGCTGGTTACAAGATTCCATTTCCGATAAGAAAAGACCAGTGGTTCTCACCCTTTTAATATTCGAGGCATCCTTCTTAAGACTAAAGGCACTACTCAGAAAACACCAGCTCTTAATTTTCATTCATTTCTTGAATACAGAAATATTAGACTACAGTAGATGAGAAAGTATTTAATGCTACAGAGTTCCATTTGAAATTTCTAGGATTATTTTGTGAATGAGTTGTTTGCATTCCTAACAACTGTATGCCACCCTTAAAAGTATCTCATGGTACTCCATGGTGCTCCAGCATCCTGGATGAGAATCACTGAGATAAATCCCTGACATTGTCTAACTCAGGGAAGCACAAAAAAGTGAACAAGCAAGAGTTCAACCAGGTTTCACTAGAGCTGTAAACTTGTTCATTTGTTGTGTCCCTTTGAAAAATGTCTTCTATTTACTTGGGTCTGCTTATTCCAAACTGTGGTGAGTGAACATGAATTTAAAAAATCCAACTGTTTTGTGTTTGATTTTCCACCCCCCCTCCTGTTCTCATTATGGATTACCTATAATATTCTCCCATTTAAATGGCATAACAGAACACCTGTAGCATAAAGTGACAAAATTCAGTTTTTATGAATATAAAACCCAGTTCACCCACATGTCTGCAGACAGAAAAGCATGGCACTTCGTCCCATCTCTTCCAACTATACAATTAGTCCAATAACCAATATCATCAACCCTCACCCCAGCTTCTCTCATTTCCTTGACCATAAGTACAGCACCACTACCACTTCAACCCTACTGCAGATAGAAAAGGTATTCATTCAAACGTACCAGAAGTATATGCACTATAGGGTCCACCCTCAGTAAGTTAGTACGTGTGTTGCCAGCAGGTAAAGGGAAATGCCACATCTGGAGGACTGTGTTCAGTTTTGGACACCCCACTACTGAAAGGATGTGGAAAAATTGGAGGGAGTCCGGCAGAGGGGAACAAAAATGCTGAGGGGGCAGGGACACATGACTTCTGAGGAAAGACTGAGGGAACTGTGCTTATTTCGTCTACAGAAGACTGAGAAGGGATTTAATAAACAGCCTTCAACTACCTGAA